TGACACTACTTTATTTAAATTTATTGTAACAGTACTTTATTTAGCTTTATAATGACACTACTTTATTTAAATTTATTGTAACAGTACTTTATTTAACTTTATTGTAACAGTACTTAATTTAACTTTATTATTACACTACTTTATTTACATTTATTATAACAGTACTTTGTGTAACTTTATTGTGACATTACTTAACTTTATTATAACCGTACTTTATTCAACCTTTTACTCAACTTTTTTATAACAGTACTTTTATGTAAATTTCTCATGGCAGAGTTTTATTTAATTTGATCATTACAGTACTTTAGTTAACTTCATTACAACATATTGCTGCGGCGGACATGTCACACTTTGTCTGTTTCCTGTTTAGAATGAGACATTTACCTCTACATACAGAGCAGGTCTCATGGATGTATACAGAGACAAGGATACACCGTTGGAGGCAGGACCCAGCTCATTCCTATAAACATTGTCAGTAGTGCATGAAGGCAAAATCATTGCCTATAGTATTATGCAGCTACAGATTACACAGACGATCGGCACTGCTTCTGCATCATTGGGCCCATAGAGCAGGTACACTAGAGGCTTTCCCCGGCTGAGCCGGCTACTTTCAGTTTAGTGCCCTGCTAACTTGTGTGGGGATGAAAATGATTCAATTGTGCAGCTCTTCTAAACTTTCCAAATGTTATCCGACCAAATAGATGGTAAAATGAGTCATTTCGCGGGGGTAGTGTCTGATTTGTAATCTAACTACTTGAATCACTGTGCAAATATTAATGTAGTTGAACCACCAGCAAGCTACTGCAAGATGTAGTTAAACTACTAGTTTACTACATGTAGTTCAGTACTGCCCAACACAGGAAGTCTGTAATAAGACAAGATAATATAAGATAAGATAAGATAAGATAAGATACACCTTTATTGTTCCCACAATTGAGAAATTCCAGTGTTACAGCAGTCAAGGAGAAAGAGTCAGGTTAAAAATTTCAAAATTTAAAAACTTAGAAACTCGACATGCAAAAGAAAGTACAAAAATGAGAATGAGAAGTGGAAGAGAGCATATCTAGTGCAAGTGATTGTATGTGCAAAAAACAACAACAAGGGGGACAGTAATGCTTATGATGGTGTTTATAAAGTGTCCATAGTGTCCCTAAAGTGTCCATGGTGCAGTTTATTGTGAGCAGTGCTGGTTGTGTGTAGTTGGAATTTTAAAATGAATAAACTGCAAACAGCAGGTTTGTGTTTACCAAGCAGGCTGGTCTGTGACGCCTGAAGAAACCAGAAGTACTAAAGAACTCCTTTTTTTTAGTTTAGCACAACAGCATATTGTCAGAGTTCTATGGCAGGGAGTGATGTACTGGAGGCAGTGCCATGCATAAACATTTTGCAAGGCAGGTGCTCAAGTGGGAAAAAAAGAGCATCCCCTCCACATCTTTTTTCCCTCTGAGCAATGTGCTGGTGCAGAAAAAAATTGTGCTAAAGCAATGTGCACCCTGCCTGGAGGTTTTTGTCTACCAGCACCAGAGGGTTTCTTGAAGCCTAAGTACAAACAGTATATTTGTGCACACAGTAATGAGCAGGAGCAATGTTTTTCTAGCCTTCATCCATCCATTTTCATCCGCTTGGTTTAAAAAGAGGCGTGGAAGTGGGGAAGCAATTCCGCATAGGGCAAACAGTATTGTTACCTGGCTGTCCATGAAGGCAGGTCAGGGAGATGTGATGCTGCTCTGCACAAGCGAAGTTGAAGAGGGGCAGAGGCTCAGATGCTGTTGTCAGACATATGACACACCTTTAATTGGGAATTGATGCCACAGACCAAATGTAAAAACTGAAATAAATAGTTATTAAAAGAAACAGAATAAAACATGTCTTGCAAGAGGGGTACTTATGTGGTCAGAGGGCAAGAGGGCAGGTGCTTGAGCACCACCTGGTATCCATCTGTGCACGCACCTGACTGGAAGTGTGAAATAACATTTGCAACTCTTCTCCTGTCTTCAGTCTCGCTTGATGACATCTCAGAGGTGCAAATGGGCCGTCATTCAGAGGGTCTGAAGAAGAACACAGAGGCGCAGGTGGAGGGCCGCTGCTTCTCCATCATGTTCAAGGGCCGCCGCAAGACCCTGGACCTCATCGCCAGCTCAGAGGAGGAGGCCAAGCAGTGGGTCAACAGCCTGCAGAAGATGGTCTCCAGATTAAACAACCTCAACACCCAGCAGAAGACCGAGCAGTATCCTTATCATGACGGTGGAAGTTAGACTGTGAACATTTGTCTGTGGTTTAGGAGCTCCTGCTGCACGCTGTGCCCGTGTGATAGGAGTCACAACCATTTAGATAATGCAGACGTAAACATGTTGTTGTATCTCCTCCTTACATCACAAACCTTTCAGTTGGATCTTCAGCTGTCTGGCGAAAGCAGACAAAAACCAGGATGATAAGATGAGTAAGTCAGAGCTGAAGAACTTCCTGCGTCTGATCAACATCGAGGTGGATGACGAATACACAGAGATGCTCTTTAAGGTGATGCCCTCACAGATTTTTAGTGACGTAACAAAAATAAAATCGATGTTAATGTATGATTTAAGCACAGGATAACCTTTTGAAGCCTGAAGAATAATGCAAACTAGATATTTACTATCATAGTAATGCTAATAAGATGATTTTTAAAGAGACAGTTCATCGCCAAATGAAAAATACATATTTCTCCTCTTACCTGTAGCGCTGTTTATCAGTCAAGATTCTTTTGGTGTGTGTTGCTGAGTGTTGGAGATAATCCACAGGCCTTGCTGTGAGCAGTTTCATGTAGGAACTATTTTCTACTACACCCACCAACTGTACAAATGCACAGAAAGAAGCGTACATCTACTGCTAGCTCGCCTAGCACCACTGAGCTAGCTAACGCAGTGCAGGCCTGAGGCATAGGCAGTACAGGTAAATGCTAAGGGTGCTGTCATCCACAGGTGGTGCCACAAATGGGGGAAGAAAAAAATCAAAACATTTATCTTTTACTATTTTTTACAAATACTATTTGAAATATGACATAAAGCCACAACAAGCAAAGCCTGCTAAATAATACGGAGGCCTTTTTTGTTGGGTTCCTGCCGTCCAACAGCGATGTCTCTCTCCAGAAATCATGACCCGGTTACTCAACATTATCCACAGATCTTATTGTGAGCAGTTTCGTGTAGGAACTATTTTCTTTGTACCAAACTACACCCACCAACTGTATCACCGTGCAGAAGGAAGTGTGCATCTACTCATGGACGAGAGGCTTGTGCTCATGACAGTGAAATTTAAACATAATAATAATCGTACTCGTACTTGTACTCGTCGTCCTCCGCTTATCCGGGTCCGGGTCGCGGGGGCAGCAGCCTCAGCAAAGAAGCCCAGACAGTCCTCTCCCCAGCCACTTCCGTCAGCTCTTCCGCGGGAACCCCGAGGCGTTCCCAGGCCAGCCGGGTGATGTAGTCCCTCCAGCGTGTTCTGGGGCGGCCCCGAGGTCTCCTCCCGGTTGGACATGCCCGAAACACCTCCCAAGGGAGGTGTCCGGAAGGCATCCTTACCAGATGCCCGAACCACCTCAACTGGCTCCTCTCGATGTGGAGGAGCAGCGGCTCTACTCCGAGTCCCTCCCGGATGTCTGAGCTCCTCACCCTATCCCTAAGACTGAGCCCAGCCACCCTGCGGAGGAAACTCATTTCGGCCGCTTGTACTCGCGATCTCATTCTTTTGGTCACTACCCAGAGCTCGTGACCATAGGTGAGGGTTGGAACGTAGATCGACCGGTAAATTGAGAGCTTCGCTTTCTGGCTAAG